TGTTACACAATTTGAAGACTCAGTGACAAAAGAGAAAGCAGCAGAGAGACCCTTTTGCATAACACACACACACGCGCACACACACACACACACACACACACACACTCTCACACCACAGCCACTCGGATCTCTGTATATGTGAGGGGTGGGGGTGGAATTTGGTGCATTCTGATCATCTTCATGAACAATGTTTCCCCAAGTCGACCAACTGGGTGATGCCAGTCCCTACCAAATTTGAATTGATGACTCAACTAAAGAATTAAAATTAGCAAGACAAGAAAATTCCAAATGAGGTGAGAAAGCTGTAGAAATAGTTCCAGATCCCCTAGTACTGAGCCATTCAATATCATTTCTGATGACAGGGACAGAGCTAGGAACATTCAATGTGGGTGTGAGTCCTTTTCATATACGGGGAGCTGGGTAAGTATTTTTTAAGGAAAATAATACATGAATCAGGAACAGTGGATTTGATTTAACCCCTCGGAGGCTGCAGATATAAAGGCAGCAGGCAAGGATGCCTGTTTCCTGTAGCCTGCCTATGTGGCACGCAGTTAACAGTCGGAAATGTACTCCTATATCAAGGCCAGGTATTACTTGCAGAAAAAAAATAAGGTGCGAATGATGTCATGTTTTAACAAAAAGCAATGTTGTTAAATTCAGTACACAAAAAGAATCAGCCAAACAACTGTTGAAAGGCAAGCTTTGTGGTCCTGACTCTGCTGTCGGGTGACAACGTGAAGAACTCCTCCAAATCCAGCAAAGCTTTAATTGAGTGCTTATGGCGCTCAGAAATTTGCTGTAATTTTCAGAAATGACATAAAATAACTCTAGAAGATATGGCAGGAAGCCCAAAAGGCCTCTTTTGTCTTTTTATGCCTCTGGATTTGATAGCTGCTAAAGATTCTAGAACTGTAAGGAAAGAGATAAGGACCACCTTGGGAGCCTTATTAATATGTACATAAATAGGATTTGCTTGGTTCCTCCACTGCAGTTTCCTCACAAGTTAGAATAAGTCAATCCACTGATCAGATCGGAGCATCATATTCATGCTCATCTTCACAGTCAATAACACTTATAGATCCCGAGGAACAGAAATTAACAGTCAGAGGTTGCTTCCGAGTCTGCCCTATACCTGTGAATATGAAGCGATTTGCCTTCTCTTTGGGTGGATTTCTTCTTCTTCTTTGTTTTAAAGCACCAGAAATGAAGCCCAAAGTGATTTGGGAAGATGTGCTGTGTATTGCTACAAAGTTGACTGCGTTTTAGAGGGTGGATCTGTGTTAAAAAGAAAACAACAAAAACAAATGAAATGTCAGTTTTCTTTCTGCAGAAACATTAGGAGTTCCCATTGCTACTGACACTTCTTATCTTGATTCTTTCCAAATTTTTGTAAAGACATAGGATAAAATATAACAGCTCAGAAGGCAAAGATAACATTGTGGAATCTCGAATAGAGTCCAACCTCAGCTGAGTTAAGTATTGAGAATCGTTCAAAGAATTTTAAACAAAAAGTCTGGCTTCGGGGTCACGTGTCTGTTTAATCTGCCCCCACTGAATGGCGTGTTACATGCAGCACACACAGAGAATTAAAGCCCCACATAAGGTTAATAAAAATGCACTCTGACTTGATGAAATGATTTCTGATTTCTGAACTATTCCTCTATAAAGAAATTTAAAGTGAGAATATGGAGGATTATCTGCTGGAATGCACTGTGAAGCTAGAAAAAGAATAGCAGGGAAATATTTGCGAGTTCAAAAAGCTTTTTGACATCTGCTGTGTGTGTGTGTGTAAAGATAGTGCAGAAAAGGTGGCATTTATTTCCATCTGATTCCAGCATGCACAAAGCCCCAGCCTTGGGCCCAGCACACAGTAGGTCTGCAGCAGGTGCTGGAGGAATGCATCTGGTTTTATGATGCTAGTTCAGGATCACATTTGGACCCACACTTTTTCCTTTTACATTTTCATATGTGAGCCACCTGCACCCTCTTTTTGGGGGGTGGGGCGGGAGCAGGAGTGACTTTTATTTTAAACAAAGGCTTGGTGAGGAAGAGATGGGGTGGGGTGGTGCAGTGACCTTCTCAGGAGCGTCCTGGATCCCCCTCTCGCCTGCCTGGAGTGCTGAGGCAGGAGTGGGGACCGGGCTGCGGGCCGAGGTCGGCCACCCGCCTCCCGCCCCGCCTTCTGTCTGGGCATCTAGAGAATGGGGAAACATTAGTGCGGGGCCAGCTGCGGAAGCCAGGCAGGGTCGAGGGGGAGGTCAAGGTCGGCCGAGAGGCGGCTATTGATCCGGCTTGGAACGCGAGACAGGGAGCGCAGCAAGACTAAAGGGGGAGCTGTGAGACCAGACATTAACAGCTTTCCGCGCTGATGAGGCCCGTGCCAGACGGGCAGAGGGAAAAAGAGGAGACTGGAGTGGCAGCTGGGATCGCTCCCTGGCTGCGCCCGGCCGCCTCGCGGGAGAAGAGGGTGGGGGGAGGAGGAGGAGGAGGGGAGGAAGATGCGGAGGAAGCGGGGGAGGAGTAGGCGAAGGGGCCAGCGCAAGGCTGGGCAGGGGCAGGGCAGCCTCTCCCCGGCTGCCGCGAGGTGGAGCGCGCCGGCGGGCGGCGGCATGTCCGGCCCTGCGCCCGCCCGCCCGCGCGTCCCTCTTCCCGCCGTCGGGGCAGCGCGGGGCCAATGAGGAAGTGCTCCTCGGGTCGGCGGGGCCCGCGCCGCCCCAAGCCCGCTACTTCCTGCTGGGGGTGGGGAGGGGGTGCCCCCTCCCCATGCCCAGCCCCTGACTGCACGCGGGGCGGCGGCTGCAGCTGGGACCCCGAGCGCCCTTGCGCTGCCCGGGGAAGGGCCCTCTTTTCCGGAGGGGTCCTCCCCGCGCCTCCTCGCCACTGGGGGGGGGCCTCCCTTCCTTGTAAGCAACCCGCGGAAGGTGAGAGTCGAATGTCGGGATTTCGAGTCCCAGACCTCCGGCGGCGCTAGGCTGCAGGCACGCCGCGGCGTTTTGGGTCCAGACCTGTCCCTGATGCGCTGTGTGTCCTAGGGCAAAGTGCTCACCCTCTCTGGGCTTCACATCGCCAGTTCTCAGAAAGAGCGCTCGAATCGATCTTTCAAGTTTCGAGTCTGGGCGAATAGGGATGGCCAGCTTATAAATGTCTCGAGAAGTTTATTAAAGGTGCGTGTGGGCATATTTTTCTTACTTAAGCCACTTTCCTGAAAGATTTTCGCGGTGAGAAGGGATGGCAGAAGAGGGAGGCCCTTCTGGACTTTGGACCACGTGGAGGTGGGGCGTTGTGGGTGGACAGTCGGGTGCAGTCTGCCCCGCCAGGGCGAGGAGGTGCAAGCCCGCGCCCCGCCCCCGATCTCCATCCGTTTGGCCTGGCGTCCCCCGACCCTGGAGCCCACAGTTTACAGCACTGCAAGCCAGGGCACATTTTATTGTTATTATTTTTTATGGTATGGGACTGGAAGGGATCTCTTTCCATTCACGCTCACAGACGCTGGGCGCTGTTACATTGTTGGTGCCATCGCCCCACCCAAGACCTTCGGGGCGAAAACAAAAACCCTGTGTGCCCCCCGAGGAAAAAAAACGCCGAGGGAGGCGGTGCTCCCGGAGGCGTCAGGGCCTCGCTACGCGCCAGGGTGAAGCCGCCGGAGCCAGGCCTGGGGGCGGAGTGGGGTGGGTGCAGCTGGACTCGCCTGCGAAGCCCAGCCGGAGCCAGGCCCCGACCCGCCCTGGCCGCCTCCGGAGAAACCCTGAGAAGGGAGAGGAGGCCAGCCGCGTGGCGCGCCCAGCCCTGGAGGCCAGGTCATCAAATGGACGAAGTTGGCTTCAGCCTGGGGAATGGGGGGGGGGGTCTCCACGGGGGCCGTGGTCTGGCCTTGTCCCCGGGCCACGGACAGGCCCCACTTGTCCTCGCCGGAGATCAAACGGCTGACAAGGCAGCTGCGTCCTTCCCAGTCTGACAGGCATTTCCAAGTCCTACCCTGGGCCGAGGAGCGCGGGAGGCGGGGTGCGACTTCCAGGTTACTGTGATTGTCAGGGGCGCCTCTGGAGTCACCCACTCGAGTATCTGTGGAGATTTGGCCACACCTACTCCTGAGCCCGCAAGTCCTAGTCCCTCTCCCACGTGGGGCGCCGCGGTCCCTTTACCCTCTCGCTGGCCATAGACCGGGTTTAGGAGGTGGGGCCGTGTTTGACCCGTAGGAGTCAATGGGAGTGAGGTGAGGGGAGGGAGCAAAAATTCCAGTGAAATCCTTTTCCAAATGGGACTCAAACAAGGTCTCAGACACTTCTCACCCACCCCTCTCATGTGCTCTTGATTCTGTCCTCTTGGTGTCGTTTGTCTTCCTCACCCTCCCAGAGTCGGTAATACCAGGATTTATATGGAGACACTTTTTGGAAGTTGAACGTCAGCATCCACCCCCCCGCCCCGCAACCGTAAAATAAAAGTAAAAACTACCAAGCGACTTTTCCAGGGAAAAGAAGCAATTCTTCATGTCCCCCACCTCCCATGTCGACCTCAACCCTTTTCCACAGTCCACACCCCCAACCCCAAAGTCCAAGTCCGAAAGAGCTTTTGGGTGGGTGGAGACTTGCACTGATTCAATGTAGTTCACTCACACAGCACCCTGCCCCCTCTCCCCTTCTCAGGGGGTCCTGCTCCCAGGAGGGAGGAGATATAAGGACGATTTTTCTTGTATTTAAAAATATGCTGCCCAGTGGCCCCTGCCCCCTCCCTCTTTAGCGCAGTTGGGGCTCGGGGGAGACGAGGAACGCACAAAAACGCGGTTTGCACGTGTGGCCTGCCTGGGCTGCGGGTGTGCGCACCGGTGAGTGTGTGTGTGTATGTATGTGTGAGTGTGCGCGCGCGCGCGTGTGTCTCTGTGTGTGCTTTCTTGTTCTCTTACAGGGTACAATGTTAAAAAGCCACCGCTAGTCGCCCCCAGTGCTCCGACTCTCTGGGTCTTTTTGTCTCTAGTGCAGATTAAACGTCACGTCCGCACTTGAACTTGAATTTTATCCCATTGTACAGAGGCAGCCCCAGCCATAGAGAGACCGAGAGCTCCCAGAGAACCCGGACTCCGCCATCTTCACGTTGCAATCTATAGCTCCCAGTCCGCGCCCGCACCGACCCAGGCGCACTGGGCGAGCCGCCCCTCCGCCCCGCTCCCCCCGGGCCCGCGGCGCCAGGGGAGCGCTGGGGAGCGCTCGCGGGGACTCGGCAGCCCCTCCGGCCGGCGCCAGCCTGCCAGGTGAACTGGGAAGGAGCCGCTCTTGGTGTCCCCCCAGAGCCTCGGAAGGGTCAGTCTCCGAGAAAAAAAAAAAGAAAAAAAAAAAAAAAAGCAGGTAGCCCGCAGAAAACCCAGAAACAACCGAACCGGGGCAGTTTTACATTGCTTTGGGTTTTTTGAGGGGGCGGGGTGAGGGGGTACGAGACAAGTCCCCAAGTTTTTTTTGCTTTTTTTTTTTCTTTGCTTTTTCTTCTTCTTCTTCTTTTTTTTTTTTTTTTTTTTCATTTGTTCGAATTTTTTCTTTTCCCCTCCTGGTAGAAGTGCGCTTTCCACCTACCAGAGCTGAAAGAAAGTGTCAGGAGCCGGTGCAAAATCCAGTTTAAGTTCAAGAAGACATTTGCAAGTGCAAGAGGCCAAGCAGTTTGGAGGAGTGTAAGAGATTTTTTTTTTCTTCGAAAGAATATATTTTTAAAGAAACCAGCCAGTCCGCGGAAAGCAACAGCAGTTTTTTTTTTTTTTTTTTTTTGCCTCTTTCTCTTATTTTAGATTGAGAGGTTTTTCTTGCTTTTCCTCCTCTTTTTTTTTCTTTTTGCAAACAAAACAAAAAACAGCATAGAAGAAAGAGCAAAATAAAGAAGAAGAAGAGGAGGAAGAGAGGGCAAGAGAGGAAGGGAAAAAAAACACCAACCCGGGCAGAGGAGGAGGCGCGGCGGCGGCGGCGGCGGCAGCGGCGCGGCGGCGGCTCGGACCCCCTCCCCCGGCTGCCCCCATCAGTGCAGCTCTCCGGGCGATGCCAGAATAGATGCCGGGGCAATGTCCCGCCGCAAACAGGGCAACCCGCAGCACTTGTCCCAGAGGGAGCTCATCACCCGTAAGTGTCTGCGGCGTGTGCGCGAGGGGCCGGAGATGGGGCTCCGGGCGCCTAGGGCTGGGGACACCGAGCCCGGAGCAGCCTAGTCGGGCCAGGCGCCGGGGCCGCCGGCGGGCTGGCAGAGGCCAAGACTTCGGCCTGGAGCATGGCGGGGGCGGGGGCCATAGGAAAGTTTCTTTGCAGCTCGGGGAATTGGGGAGCTGAGCAGCCGGACCCGCCTCGGGCTTGGGGGCCTGCGGAGCCGGCTCCGGGCCGGGGAGGGGGCGTGCAGGCTGGAGGAGTGTGTGTGCGCGCCGAGTCCGGCTGGACGCTCGCCCCTCCGAGCGGCGTGTGTGGCGGCGGCGGCGCTGGTGGCGGGGTTTGGAGAGGAGGGGGAGGGGGTTGGGGGAGCGGAGGGGGAGGGGGGAGCCGGGAAGTGGGGAAAAGTTGGCGAGCGCGTGGGTCCGCGCTGATGGCGCGGGCGGAGGAGAGTGGGGTGCGCTTCGGGCTGGGGGAGCTGGAGGGCAACGGGCGGCCGCTGGCTCCTGGTCCCCGGTCGCTGCGCCTGGCCCAGCAGGGCGCCGGCCACGCCGGTCCTAAGATTCCGCCACCGCCTTTCTCTCCCCTCCTCCTGCTATTTGCAAAATAATCCAGCTGCGCGGCTGTTTGCCGGGCTCAAGCCCCCCTCCCCACCCCCCATTTCCCCACCTCCGTCTGTCTCCTGGGATGATCTTGTCTTCTTTCCCCCACTCCAAAAAAGGTGGGGGGATTGGGATTGGTGAAAAATCCCCGCCACGAGAAAAAAAAAAAAAGGTTGTCAGGAGTGGGAAGAGAGTGATGCACTTGTAAAATAGTAAAAGAAAAAAAAAAAAGAAAAGGAGATCCGTCAATCTCATATCCATCTTTCTATCTCAGTATCTTTCATCTTTCCTATCTAAATAAACAAGGCAGGTCGCGGTGGAAATCCACCCGCTGAAATCGTGTAGATTTCAAGCCTGTGGCGGGGCGGGTAAAGTCAGGCGGCGGGGCAAGAGAAGCAAGCAGCAGCTTCCACCGTCCCTGTTGGGTTTATTTAGCAGAGGGAAAAAGCGAGCGCGAGCGGGCCAGGTACGCAGTTTGCAGGGGAGCCCGCCCCGGGTTCCCGCACACTTGCACCGGGAAGGTGGCTCCGCCGCGCTCCCCTCCCGCCGCAGCCCGCGGGGCCGCTTCTTCGCTGCGCGCGAACATTTCCCCGCCGTTCTTTCTCTCGCGGTGCCTGGGTCGCCGTTCCTTTTTTTTTTTTTTTTTAATTGCAATAGAAATAAAACATCCTCTGGGTGCCATCGAGACCGCGGGCAGGTTGTAAGCCTGCAATCGGCCGCGCACCTCGCCAGGCTGGGGCCGGGCTGCCCGCGCGGAGCTAGAGAGGGCTGCGCGCCCAGCCGCCGCCGAGGACTGGCTGCGGGGCGGCCGAGAGCCGAATATTTATGTTATATTTTAAAAAATTTAAATAAATAAATAAATATATAAAGGGGTTCTCCCCTCCCCTGAAAACCCAGCATAGGAGCCATCTGCTCGGAGCAATTGCTGTTGCCATCTCTCCTTTGTTACAGCAGATACATTAGTAAGAATTTGTGGATTTATTTTGATTGTTTTTGTGGGGGAATAGATATTAAAGTGGGATTCGCCTTGGGAGAGGGTTGCCTCTTTGCAGGGAGGGAAGAGGACTTCTCTTTTATTTTTCGCCATTGTAACATCAAAGAAGACTCGCCGGTTGCATTTAAAACAAAATGTTTTGCAGCCAGATTTGAGCTTGATCAAGGTCTTTTTTGCCAGTTGACATTTCGATCCTTTACCAAGCCACAGCAATCGCTTCTCCTATACCCTTCCCCCTTTAGATGGGGTGGTTGTTAAAACGTCTGTACTTGCAGAGGCTTAATTTCTCCAGGAGGCAATTTGCCCCACGTAGCCGCTGTATAATTGCAAGGGTTGTTTTTGAGGAGGGGGAATTGGGGGGGTCGGGGAAGGGGGAGTGGATGGGGGTGCACTGCCAAGCTGGCAGCAGCGGCAAGCCAGGAGTGGTTGCAGTTGTGTGTGAGGGGAAGAAGCAGGTAGGTTTGCTTTGCTTTGGCTCTCCCTCTCCTGGCATTCCTGGGACATCAGGCGAGAGCCCTGGCCAGAGGACTGGTGGCAGCTGGGCGTGGGGGTGAGGGGTGCCTGGTGCAGCACTTTCCCATCCTTCATTTGTTCCCTGTCTCTCTCAGCCTTGCTCAGAGCCATGCTGGGGATAGCCGGCTGACACTGGAGCAGTGGCAGGGGGGAAAAGAGAGAGGCAGAGGAGAAGAGAGATGGGGAGAAAAAGGGGAAGGAGACCAGAGGGCAAAGGAAAGCCCGCCTGCCTTCCAGGGGCACACGGATCCCAGACTATGTGTACGGGTTTAAGCTGGGAGAGTGGTCCAACCAGTTTTCAGACAAGGCTATTTATTATCCAAAAGCAGCTGGCTTTTCATCTGTCCAGTGTCACCCGGGAGGGAGGTGGGCGAGCAAGCAGGGGAAAGGCAGGAGCCGGGTGTACTTTAGCCTGTGTGGCCTCTGGAAGTGCCTCTCCACAAAGGATGCAGGAGTCCTGGACTCAGGGTGCTTTGGAGACCTGGCTGGCAAAGCGGGTGCTGTCGCAATCTCCACTTGGGGTCCACATTTTAGATTCTGAATACAAAAGATACTCCTTAAAACATGCGGCATCTTTATCAGTTGGGTGGCAGCTCCCAGGCCTGTGGGGCAGCAGCCTCAAGTCCTTCAGGGATGATGCAACTGCGAATAACTGATGGCCTGGGAAACAAGGAGGGCACACAAATAGCACGCCTGGTCTTTGTGGGGGGGAGGCGGGGGAGGAGGGAGAGTCTGAGAAGGGCTCCATAATGAGCTAGTTAAATTTACAGACAGGGCCAGGGACAAGAGGAGCGAGGTAAAAAAGAGTGAGAGACAGCTGGTGATGGAAACCTGGGCTTCTGGTTTGCTTCAAAATGTTTGACCCAGATGGATATGGCTTTTACAAGCGGAGGACAGACACAGTTATTAATAAAAAAGCAAACACAAAACAACAGAGTTGCAATGGTGCCAAGGGGAGGTTAAGGGGGATCGGCTGACCAGGCAGAAGGAAAGGCCAGAGCCTGCTGTGCCAGACAGGGCCAGGGAGAAGGGAAGAGTACTCAAATCCAAGAAGGAGCTTGATGCTTTCTGAAGACACCAAGGAAAGTAAGATGTCCACGGTAACTTACATCACTGCAATCAAGGTGATTTTCTCAACAACTCACCAACAGGTTTCCTAGGAAGATGAGTAATTTTCCGTATGAATTCACGATTTTGTAAAGCAACCAGAGACCCAAGATTTAATGCAAAAGTTGGGCTGTGTTAATTCCATGGTCGCCTTTTAAATTAGGTTTTGCTGTAGCTGTATGTTTTGAGTGTGGCGGTGCCCACAATTACCTTAACTCCCCAGGCTGCAGTGTGTCTCCAGTGGTCCACATGTCTTTCAAAATTGGGCCTCCGATAAATTTTATAAGACATAAGCCCTCTCTCTCTCTCTCTCTCTCTCTTTTTCAGTTAGTTGGTGGGGGGAATGAAGTTCCTCTCCCTTCTGCACAGAAGGGAACCCCATATCATTAGAAGTGTGATATAAGTCAGCTGCTCCGATTCAACGGGAGAATAAAAATGTGTTCATCAAAGGTGTTATGCCAGGCTGATTTTATTCATTTGTAATTCACACCTGAGAGAAAACAGCCGTGAGCATATTTTAACAACCCCTAATATTTTTAAAGGGTCTTTTTTCCCTACCTGAATGATATAATGTACATAGGCATATTTCTTTCTTTTTCCTTCTTTCTTTTTTTTTTTTTTTGATGGGGAAGTTGCTATCTGCCTGTGTCTTGGCCTTGGTGAATTTTTTGTCTGGCCTTTGAAATACTTTGCAACAGAAAAGGAGTCATTTCTGAAGTGCTGGGGTGGATGCAGTTGCTTTCGTGAAGCCGGCCTTAGAGACATCTAGGCTGGGGTCAGCTGGTTGGGTATGTCTCGTCAATGACCAGTGCACAGGACTAAAGGGGTCCTACTCAACCCAGGGGAAGGTCAACTTTGGGCGCATTTGAGAATAATTAGAATTATGTCTCAGGTGAGATGGGAGCACAGACCACTGTCGATTACAAATACCAGTTTCTAGCTGTGGGGTGCATCAGTTTGTAGCGCCTTCTCAGAATGGAGTCCTTGGCTGTCTTGTAGCTTAGAACACGGCGTGCACCAGCCTCTACTTATCCCCTTTTCGTCTCCTATCTCGATTGCTTTGCATTCTCCATTGCTTGTTGTGATAAAATACTTTCCAAAATAAACTTTCAGTTGAATTGGCTTTTGGTTGATGGCAAGCTGAAACGCCGAGCCGCGCCTAGCGCCACTTGGCGCTAGGGGGAGCTCGGTGCCCGTGTCATGGCTTGGCGCCTCCGCTACAATGGGCTAGGAACGGGCTTCCATCAGCAGCGGCGGCAGTTTACGTTGCTGCAAAATGTCTTAAGTGGGAAGTTGTAATATTGATTTTCCTGCAGAGATTCGTGCAGGACAAAATGAGAATATAAGTTTGAGAAATCTATTTTCAAGCTATCGCCATTGATTTACAAGCCCTCACTTGGCAGATGGGGGAGGATTTTCTTTTTCTTTGATTTTCTTTCTTTTTTATAAGAATTAAAATTGTGAGTTTTGAATGGGTGTGTTTTCCCTGATTCGTCTGTGGTCTTGACATTCTGAAAATTCTGTTGCGTTGTTGAGGCGCCGGTGATCGGGCTGGTGGAGGGGTCTGGGAAGAGCGCGCATCATTTTGGGTAAGGCACACTGCTAATTTCTGTGTCACATGTCACAGACCCAGGGAACAGTCGAGAATCGCTGCTTTTGGGAGTCGTGTACCTAAAACAGCTTGATGAATGGAAATCCTTTTAGCTCAGATTTTATAACACTTGGATTCTCGATTCCATTTATTAGGTAATGTTCCCACCGTACTA